TGCCAACACTTCCCTTTACTTTGCTAGAATTTTCCCTCTCTTCTAGGTAGCCAGATTTCTGGCTCTGGTAAGATTAGTTCTATGAAATGCTTTAAAGATACCCATTCCTGACTTGCCATGTGGACATCGCCACCATTAGAAAGGAAATCCCTGACATTGTTTAGGTCATTCCTTTCTAAGTTTCATGAAGAGGTTGAGCCAGGCAGGCACTAGCCCCAGGACTGAGTCTCTTGGGTACGGTGAGGACCTAGTCTATGCACAATCCTCACCCCCCCCCCAGCAGATCAGAACTGTGCTGTGGAGAAAGCACTGAAGAGCACGATGAACCCCAATCTCAGTTCTGGGTGAAGGCTGAGATGACAACAGGACCTTGACAAGGGCATTCTGGTTGGTAACCTATTCGGATGATCCCTGGCTGAGTTAATTCTTCAAAACGACTCTGCCTTTTAACTCTTACAGATCAAACCCTGATCCCTTTGCTCAGAAGATGAAAGTATTCCAAAGCGACCAAGTTGTAAGGAACTTCAGACGCACTCATTTTCTTCCTCCTAGTTGGAAGGGCCACCGGCCTCGTTGCTGAGGCGAAGATGCCAGTGCAAAATGTTACAGGCTCAGAGTTAAAGGGTGCCGCTGTTTAAACAGAAATTGACAAATGGGTCTCATTTCTAGCTCAGATGAGTTGGCAGTGACAGCCTGAGTTCTCTCATAAGAATTCTGCATGTAGTGAAGGCTTTGGCCCATTAGTGATGGTTGGCTAAGGCATGGGGCTCAAGCCATTACAGAGCCGAAGTGGCCAGCTCCGCTTTGACCTTGAACCCCTAATGCTAATTGAGTCCTTGGTGGTCCTGTTTTCTTCTAGGGGAATAGGGACAATGATAGCGTCCTTCTGTTTGATTCCTTTCTTGAGTTTTGCCACAATTAAAAGTTGAAGACCAATGACCAATTGAAGAACAATGACCAAGTAGTATCAAAGACCTGACCTCAAATAAAACATTTGTCTTTTGAAGGGAAGTATAAGGAAGGGAGATCTACGTGGATGGAAATGTGGACTTGTTAAACCACACCCACAGATCACTGAGTATTAAACTTTTCTCCTCAACGTGAGGCGAACAACCCAGGTATCTTCCAACCTGTAAGGAAAATAACGCTGACTTGACAAGAATCACAGAACAAACTAATTTTGTTTTTGGTTCTAAATTGTAATACTCAGACAGACTTTGGATATTTTCACCCCGGGTAGCTATACTTCAATCCTGGGTGCTATCTTGGTAAGAGATTACTGAAAGCAGGTAGATAAAAGTTCTGTAGTCTCATGAAGAAGAGCTAATCTACATCCTAGTAAGGGACAAGTCTCTACAGCTTGAAAAATAGTTTGACATGTTGGTGACTTCATAGTATAGTTGTCATGAGTTAGACCTATATTTCAGCTCGCCATTTTCTAGCTAGAGGCTTTGGGCAAGTTTCTTAAATTCCTTAAGCCTCAGTTTTCACATCTATATACTGGAAATATAATAGAACCCTACTCAAAGGATTGTTTTTGAGAATGAAATAAATGAATGTATGTAAAACATTTAGCACAGTGCCTAGCACATAGTAAGTGCTCAATGAATGTTAATAATTATTATAATTGAAGACTGGAGTCCAATTCTTTTCATGTCTTAGGATAGGCGTTGGGTCCAAGAAAACCTCTTTTAGTTTATGCCAAGTTTTATGGGTGTGATTCTTTTTGGAGAGAAGTTCTATAGACTTGCTAAGATCGCCAAAAGAATCCATGGCCCCCAAAATGTTAGAACCCCACGAATTAGATGAATATGGGAACTAAAGAGACACTGTTTTCCTTGTTGACAATTGTCATCTTCCTGCCCTCGGACAATCCTTTTTTATAGTGCTCCTTTGTAACCTAATAGACCCATTTGGAGTTTCCCACTTTATGGAATCTAAGTTATCGCTGATTTCACCCCCTATCCCAACAATGAGAAGTTGATATTCCTAGACCATTCTAGGTATGCATGGAGGATTTTAGACAAACGAGATGTTTTCTTTTGTCCCAGAGGGCAGCCTCATATTTGTGTTATTTAGCTGACCTTAGCTAATGTTCAGTGATGAAGCAAAATCCACTCCCTCACTAGCGAGGGTGTCTACATGCCTAATGAGGCATTTGGAACACAGCTCTGGCTCCCTACAATGACAGATGGACTCAGACTCTAAACATGCTGCTCGCCTATAGCAAATCTTCCTTTGTTCTATCCCAATTGCAAACCTCAAAGTGGATGCTGATCATACCAGCTGCTGGGCTGAAGTTGAACAGTGAGCAGTGCTGTTGGTTGGGGGCTATTTATCGATGGATTTGATACCATCAATCCTGTGTTATGACATCACACTTCCTGTGACATCAAGGGCTTGTGACATTCTTGCTCTCTGTTTCTCAAAGGAAGATGCTGATTTCCTACACTGTAAGGAAGGTTGGGGGGGGGCGGTGGGCAAAGAAAATATCACCTGTGAGCATGGGTTGTCCCAAAGAGGGTGTTTTCCTTTTAAGCTTGTGCTCTAACAATACTCAAAAGGAGAACCTCCCGCAAGTAATTATTTTCCCCTCTGCCATTCAGATCGGCCTTGAGGTTTCAAGGACTTCATTCTGAAGGAAGCTTTTAAGAACCATAGAAATCACATTGCTTTTGAAAGTGCTAATGCATGTGGCGGAAGCAGCAGCCTTCAGACTGCTTTATCTCTTATCAGTGGTTTGGCTTTGTGCATGAGAAATTCAGAGGCAACTATATAATTTTAAATTCCGACTGCCACAAAGAAAGAGATGTGTCTGACATCCCAATGCAGTGGCTTTGACTATTTTAATGGAAGTATGTTGGAACTTGGGGGAACCTTCCACCAAGGAGATAGTGATGAAAGACCTCAAGAGAGGCATTTTATCTTTGAGATAAAAGGCCTGTTTTCTAAGGTTGCTTCTTTCATTACAACTTCAACTCCCTCCCCCGCCCCCCACCTGCTACTGGGACACCATGCAAATATATCATTGCAGGACCTGTTTGCTTATCCATTTCATGCCTAAGATTTCCTGGGGCATGGGGAAGAGAGGGAGGACTGGTCTTATTTGCAATTTAATGAAATGAAATTTTTCACCTTTTCATAGAGCCTTGAAAAATAAGTACCAGGTGCTGGAGTGGATCTGTTTGCCTCTTTGGTCCAGATATCATGCTACCTTTTGCCTAAAGCAAGGTATTCTTATCTAGATGCTCCTGTTAAGGGCAGCATTGCCAATTTAATCCTCTTTCAGCTGTATCCAGATAAAAGGCTGAGGATCTCTCTTAACTGACATTGATTAGGGTCTGGTAAATGGTGGTTGTTTGCATTAAAAAAATAAAAACAATCCTTCCTCCCCAACACAGATACTCATATTTATAAGAGTCATTCATAGCTGTGAACCATTTTGACATTATTGAGAATAAAACCCCAGATTAGCAAAAGGGACGTTGACTGATAGGAACCTGCCTTACCACACAGAAGCAGGGGTGTCGCAATGCAGAATACGTCCTTTCTTGTATTCCTTCCACTCAGAGAACAGATAGCCAGATTCTTGGAATCAAAACCAAACTGGCGTAAATCTGGTTTCTCCCAGTGACATCTTCAGAAAAAGAATTTTACTGTATTTTTTATTCCTATGTATTTTAAGATGCTTATCCCAAATTGTTTATTGGTTCTACCAATGCTTTAGGCCTTGTGTGGCTGCAGGAATAGTTAGTACAGCGGAGGTGTGGGTAACTGAGGGGATGGGGGCCAAAAAGACATGTTAAGTCAAAAAGATGTTCTCTGGAAGACCATGGCATAAGAATCTCAAGTATGGGAAGGTGAATTGGAAGCCTCTATACAAGCAGAGACAGCAGAAATTATCTTTTCAGGAAAGAGATTCTAAATTTAAATCATAGGCTCCCTTGCCTTACTTCTTGTCTCACAATGATGCTGGCCCGAGGAACCCCCTATCTGTTAAGGGTCGTCAGAAAAGACTCTTGGAGGATCACAGCTTTCCTTTTGCACTAAGCTTCCCCTAATTTCATTCTGTCTGTTCCTAAAAATCCTCTGAGCCTGTTTTTCTCTGACAGGTGGATCACTTCCCCACATATAGTATAAAGAAGGACTTCCCTCCTGCAATACCTTGCGAAATATTCCCAAGCCTACAGGGAAATGTAGGCTTACTTCCTACTCTCAGGAAATTTGCTCTCTTTCCTACTCTATCCAACGCATACCACAAGTGACCTCTAGGTCAGGGGTCAGCAAACTTTATAGGAAGTGGTAAACAATAAGTATTTTATGCTTTGTGGGCTATGCAGTCTCTAACACAGGTATTCAGCCTTGCTGCTGTAGTGTGAAATCAGCCATAGGCAACATGTAAGTGAACTTACGTGGCTTTGTTACAATAAAACTTTATTTACAAAAACAGGTGGCGAGTCAGATTTGGTTTCCAGGTCATAGGTTGCTGACCCCCGCTCTAAGGTCAAACCTCAAGCAATCTTTGGTCTATGGTTGCTAGATATGTGATGAACAATATCCAAAGGGAAAAAGACCTAAAGGAAGTTAAAAGCCAGTTCAAGTTTATCAGATCTCTTGGGCAATGTAACAAGCCTGCCCGTCAATTTTCCACCTAGACAGACAGATGCTGCTGTAAGGGCTTTAGAAAACCTCTGTCATACTCAAGTAGTTTCCCAGGACTGAGCTTTTATGACTTATTGAGCAGATAGCAAATAGAACTAAATGCTAAACATATTTGGGGATCAGTTTTTAATTTATAAAAATCTTCTGAAGAGTATTAAGTACAGTGAAGATTCGGTTGAAGTCTTTGTTTTGCCACCAGCTGCTTCATATACCCAAAGGTGCGATTGTCTAGAAAATATTATTTATAAAGATTAGAAATCATCTCATATTTTTAAAAGTAGGGGTTAGTGGATTTTAATGTAAAGGCTATTTTTTTCCACAATTTGGGTAAAACGTTCTCTCATAACCACAAACAAATATTCTAGTTGGAAGGTATGGGGAGAAAAAGATGTACACTGAGGAACTCAGAATGCATTTTACTGATGTCTAAAGTCTGAACTGAAATATATAATTTAACCTCTACCAAATTTCCTGCTTATTACCTTATATATTGTGGTCACCTTATAGAAGTGAAAAACAGAATTTTATATCATGACTGTTTCTAGTAGGTCCTTAATTTATATTCTTGGTTGCTATTACTATTGATATTTTTATTCTGTTTGTGATCTAATTACCTCTAGGATTAAATTTTGCATGTGGACTCAAACCAGTCTTTTTTATTGGCATAAAACTTCCAAGATACTGATCAAAGTCTTTCAAGGGATAATAGAACAAAACGAGTGGAAAGAGGTTCTGGGAACTTTTTGCTTTCTTGTCATCCATAGATTGTGTACTCGAGATGGCAAAATGCAAAGGTATTCCGTCTATTTAAAAGAAAGAAACCAAACCTGTCTTAAGGTAGTCACAGAAGACCTTATAGCTATTATTATTTATCTAAATGATATGGGGTGGGCCCTCCTCGTAGCCAAGGAGGGCCTTTCCTGGCTTGGAAAAACCCTGTGCATGGTGACATGCAGATTCTGGCAGCATGGCCCTCTAGGATGTTAATAATACCAGTCCAGAGTAATCTGATGTCTTTTATGGTTTTCAGTTTTAGACCCTAGGGCTGTAAACCAACCAATTGAAAGGTCTTGCCCTAAGACGGGCCAGCCCATTCTTCTGCATGGGATGCCAAGTGAGACTGCCTGGAGTGAGCCTGGGGTCTGGAAGCCAAGTAGCATCATTGGCCAGGAGAGGCCTGCCCATCCCCCACTTCTAAGTGGCCAAGCCACACATAGCTTGCTCATACCTCCCACGTGGGCAAGCCTCAGCCTGACGCTTGACTGTCATCTCAAACAAACATCAAATCTCTCATTCATTTCCTATGAAAAACCTTTCCCTGCTTGTGAAGTAAGAAACATTAGAATCTCACTTAGGGAGGAAAACAACACACACAAAAAAAACGCAACAAACACCACTCAGGCCTACAAATACTGCTTCATTTAGGATTGTGGGGCCACTGCTCTCCAAATGGCATCCCCTAGGACTATCTAAGCCAGCAACATCTGCATTCTGGGCTCCTTAGAGTCCACATCTGTCAGCCACGAGGTTTGGGGATCAGCTTTTAAGATGCCCAGTCATGACGAAAGCAACCCCTCCAATCACTCGAAATAAACTACAGGTAACGACAAGATAAATAAAGATGTGCTTCTCCTTGCTGAGTGCATTGACTTAAGGCATAGGCACATTTCTCCCTCTTTGAACAGAGATGTTGTAATTCCCTGTCCCAGCACAAGAGCTGGCCACGGTGACCCTGGAGCGTGATGATGAAGGTGGGGCGATGAGAGGTAGCTGATGGCGGGAATTAGAGTCCTGCTTCCCATCTGGGGCAGCGGGCACTGCTGGGCCCCAGGGCACGCAGCGATTCTGATAAAGACACTTGACTCAGTCTACCTTAACTTTCGGTGAGCGGTTCTGGCAGCATGCAGTACTTTAGATCGGTAGTTCTTGGAGAGAACGTAATAGTGGATTTAGGAATATGAATACCTCAGCACTGATAAAATGCACAATACGATCAAAGCTGGAGAGTTTGTGCATGCCTTTAAAAAAAAATAAAAGGCATGTCTCTACATTACCTATCAATGCCAAGAAGCATGGGAAAAACAGGTTCTTTATGATGTTCTTAATTTGACTTCCATCTCAGAATGGCTTTTCTTGGGGGAAGACTTCCGCTCTTAGGGATTTTTGATTGACCTGATCGTTTTGGCTTGGGATCTGTTGGATAAAGTCAGAAGTGAGAACATCACAGCGTTTGAGCTGTTTTTCCTTTAAACAGAGACATATTACCCATTTGTTCTTTGCCTGTCAAGCCATTGAGTAGCTTCCAGCCACCGAGCAGCAGCTGTTATCTTATTTTGTGCTGATTTACAGCTCCTAATTCGACATGTGGGAGAACATGTGAGATATAGCAGAAATCAGGTGAGCAGTCCCAAATTCACTGGAATTCCTCCTCCTGCGACCACAAAAGCCCGGATGCATTTGGCTGCAAAGACAGGGCAGCCCTGTTGAGTTCCTACAGCTGACTTCTATGAAATCGCCCCTTCCCTCACTTGAAGAGGGGGAAGTTGGCCAGCTATATGAAAGCTAAACAAGGAAACCAAATGTCTGTTTTTGAAACAAGGGTCTCAGGGTTCAGTGGGACTTGGAGATTCCCGCCATCACTCCCTCCTAACACGAAAGGAGAAGAGGGGAGTCACACCACTCCTCGAACACGTGCATGAAAGTCCTGTCAGTGTCCAAAACGCGCTGTGTGATCCTGAATAGACTGGGCAATGTTGGGACTGAATTAGTGTTAAGACGTTTGTCACTTCAGTGGAAGGGATGGGATGGAAAAATGACAGTGAGTATCACAGGGTCACCCGTGGTTCCTTTTGTACTGAAACCTCATTTTATACAGAGGATATATATATATTTATTTATATATATTTATATATATTTATATCCACCCACACAGCAAACACACTCAAGCATACATACACACACACAAACACACACACGCGCAAAAGGTCTTTGATAGGCTTTCTGTGTTCTAGTAAAAATAGCTGGCAGTCAGTGTCTAAAGCCAAAAAAAGGCCTTTATGCTGCCGACAATTGTCCACTATGGATAGTCTCTCAAAGGCAGACGCTTGTGTTTATCTGACAAGTGGACCCGGTTCCTGCCTGGGACAGGAATAATCTCCCGTTGGCGCAAACGCAGATCTCGAAGACTTTCTGCCTCGTTCCCGTAGGCGTGTAGGATCCGTGAGGCAGTCTAGGTAGTTTGATTTTCGCAGCATCTAACTTAATCTAAAGAGAGTGAATAGGAAGGAAAGAGTCAGTCAGAGGCTGTCACCGCGTGATGTTCAGAAACAGTACTTGAGTGTTCCTTTCAACTTCAATGAGCAACTACCATGTGTTGATGATTCTTGGCACTGGGGAATTGGAAATGAACAAGACAAAGTCCCTACCCTCACGGCAGCTTATGTTCTAGTAAGATCATGCTGCATCAGCTTATGTTAGCGTTTTGCAAAAGAATGTCCCGTAGCATCTGAATCGAGTCCCAGAGTCAAGGAGATGTGGAAATGCTACATTTAACAATTTTATTTACCACGGGACTTCTTAACTCCCATACACGTCCATTTGCAAGGTGAGTCTTCAAGAAGAGAGTAATCTATGTGACATTTTTCAAGTTTTAAATGACTAGTGAGCCTTTTTTGTTTTCTTTTTCTGACAAATTATGTGGCTGATATTTTATAAAAGATACTTTGAGAAAAGCATGCCTATAAAAATAAGCAGTGGTGGAAGTTGCCATTAGATTTATGATCAGAACTGATTCTTCCAGAGTTCAAATTTAGATAGCTATCAACGGTGTATGTGTGAGGTAATCACTGTTTTTATGCGTGTGGAGTTTGCAGGTTGTGGCTGTTTGGAGAGGCAGTTGTGGTAATTGAATGCTCTACCTCCTTTAAAACAAAATAGCAAATGCCATTCCCATGAAAGGGAGGGGGCTTTTATATCCACAAAGTGGATGTACAGAAGCAAGTGGAGACTGATAACCCCTCTCATTGACTATAAGGTGGAGTAGAGTTTTGCTTTAAAAAAAAAAAAGTTCTTTTTCCCTCTTATTTTTGTTCTTAAATAGAAAAGTTTACTTGTGCACACTTCCAAGGCATTTTTAAAAGTTTGCAGTCAAAACACATTTTGCAGGGGGTGTTCGGTTTACCTTGCTTGCAAACATACAAGCAACATTTCTGTGCACCCAACTGGGATTGAATTGGAGTAAGAGAATGAATATCTGCAATTCTTCATTCTCTTGTTGCCTAGTCTTACCCTATGAAGTTGTGCCTTGTTCTGGTTTTGAATTGCTACCGGATCTGATTCTTTATTCTTAAGGGGCAGCATGAAATAACTGAGTAAATTAAGTTCATCTTTATCTAGATGTGTATGATATATAGCCTAATTAGGCTGGCTCACTGAGTCTTATTTTAAGGTGACAACAGAGAGAATTTGAAAATAGCATTCATTTTTACGGTCATCTACTTCTGTATTTGGAATACAAGCCATTATCTTACCCCTTTACAAATAATGAATCTTAACATTATGGATTGTGGGTTTGGCTTATAGTCATGCCGTTCAGTTATTTGTTTTGGAAATGAAACCACCTGCCTGGCACCTTTGTTGATACACTGTACGATCTGCCTCCGTGGCAAGCCAGCTACGGGAAAGGCTGGCCTGTGGGAGCCTTTTGGGACGTCTGTCCTTCCCAGCCCTCACCTCTCCATCTTTTGACTCCAGTCTCAGCTCTGTTCTGCAGGTGGCTTCCATGTTGCCAGCCTCGGCATTGATTTCTACTCCTTTTGGGGCCTCCATCACCAGGGAACGGGTCGGAGACTCCAACCTGAAAGACACACAGACTGAGATTAAAGATCCCATTTCCTTCTTGGTCAATTGAAGAGGAAGTTCACGCTCAGGGCACTGAAAAAGCATTTCAGTATTTGATGAGGGAATCTTTCTAAGTTTTGCTTTAGAAACCTGGTCAAGTTTATAAGAAACACAACAGGGTTTGTCTTCATTGCATTATACTAAGGTCGTATGGAAGGCATTCTAGGATCCTGGCTTCATTTTATCTTACATGCAGTTAATGTTTTACTGGCATAATTAACCAAACTCTTAAGCGATACATGCGTAAGGCAAGCCCAGATCTAAAGCGAGCTTCCTGGAATTGGTAGATATTTCTTCTTCTCTGTCCTGCTTTCTGCATCTTCCGTGGAGGTAGAATCTCAGGGGTCAAGAAAATAGATCTGGGAGTCAGACGTGCTTGGACTCGAGCCTTGGGATGGCCACCATAGGACCATAGGCACGTCTTTCTTTACCACCTCTTTTTCTAAAAATTTTTAAAGCCTCAGTTTCCTCATCTATAAAGATCTTTATATAGTGCCTGAATTCTGGAAATGCAAATCTGTATTAAATATTACTGTTACCATGCCAGCAAATCATAAGGAAGTCTTGGGCCTTCCCCATCAGTGTGGTTGTCAAAAGAAGATTCAGAACAGATCCGTGGGCCCCGGAGGGCTGGGGCAGGGAGGTGGTTTGGCTGCAGATGGAGGGGATGTGTTGGGTGATGGAACTATTACATAGCTTGATTGCCGTGGTGGTTACATGCCTCTGTGTATTTGTGAAAACTCACAACTGAGTGAATTTTAGGGTATGTAAGATAAAAAATGAGAATCAGCCATACTCAATGATAATTATGATGGCATAACAGAGGATTACACTCCTTATAAAGTTTTTCCCTTAATGAGTAAAGTATTAACTAAAACTCCACCATCCCCTAGAATATGCTAGATTTTAATATTACGACCAGATAGGAATGTGTCAAGATCCTCATCTCTGTTGCAAAGAAAATATCCCAGAGACTTCAGCAATGGGTCTCAAACAGCTCTGCTCCAGCTCGGTTTCCAGAGTTTTATTTCTCCATGTCTAACTTTGACCAGGTTGTGCCGAGCTGGGTGTGGTTCTGCCTGTGCTGATGGTCGACTTCATTTGCATGTGATTTTTTCTGCAAGATAATGTCAAGTGCATTGAGGGAGGAGGTCTTATTACCATAGCAACAGGGGGTGACTTCAGCAGTACCCCTTGCCTAGGACCTTAATCCAGCTAGGTGGAGCTCCCCCTGTACTCTTAACCCCCATGCCTTTTGAAATAGGAAGATATTTTTGTGACACTTTGTCTTTGCCTCTTTCCCATACAGTCTAGGTGACCTACACAGCTTATTCAGAGTTTTCTAACTCATTTGTTTCCATTAATGTTGATACCTTTCTCTTTGTAGCATGAGCTTCCTTACATCCTTTTTTTTTAATTCATTGTTTTAGTAAAAGGGTCTCGCTCTGCTCTGTTGTATTAGCATAGAGTGAAGGGGAATCACTGTAGTTCACTGTAGCCTCAAACTCCTGGACTTGAGAGATGCTCCCACCTTAGCTGGAGCTACAGGTGCATGCCACAATGCACAGCTAATTTTTTCTATTTTTTGTACAGATGGGATCTTGCTATGTTGCCCAGGCTGGTCTTGAACTCCTGGCCTCTGAAGCGGTCCTCCCGCTTCAGCCTCCCAAAATGCTGGGATTATAGGCATGAGCCACCATACCTGGCCTCCTTATACTCTTATAATACTTCCTGTTTAATCCTTCATCTGTTCTTTTTCTTCTTTCCTCCCTCATTGTACCAGTTAACTGAGCTTTTGACTCACAATATGTCCCTTCTTTAGTATATTAGGTCATCTTCTACCTGGGCTGTTGTAACTGCTTCACAAATTTTCTCCTAATTTTTCCTTTTTCTCAATGTACTTCCCATGAAAATATGTCACTTGCCTTATCAAAACCTTCACAAGTTCCTTAGAAAAGATCTGCACTCCCAAGCTTATTCAGCCATTTAGAATTTGGCCTGACCTGGTTCCCTGGTCTTATTTCTTGCTGTAAACATCCAGTACGTTTTATGAAGAGCTTACCAGGTGATGAGACTGTACAAAGGGTCATGTGTTATTTCCTTTAATTCTCATAAAATCCCATCAATCTGGTTTTCCTGCAGTTCTGATTATACAAACAAGGAAAGCAAGGCTAAGTGACTTAGGGTTATACTTATAGTAAAATGGCAGAACCAAGATTTGAACTCAATTTAGTGGACTCCAAAGCCAGTATCTGTTTACTATACCCGATTACCTTCAGAAACACTCTACTTTCCGTCACATCTGCACACTGTTCTCTGTAATTAAATGCCACCTCTTTCCTCATGGAATTAACACTTGTATTGCTAAAACCAGTCTATGTAAATAAGAATAAGGCGATAGTACCATATATGGGTGAGTGATGCATAAATTTCACAATATACAATATTTCTCATAACTTAAATAGTCGACATCAGTGATATCAAATTTAGGAATGTGTTCAGACTTGGAACTTAGCATGCCAAGAATGATGTAGTATAAAAAATAGTTGGGGGGGTGGGGAAGAAAGAGCTCGACATAGAAAAAAAAATGTATGGCGTTTCAAGAACTTTATCTGATGCAGGGCTGGCATTTCAGACAGACATTTATTAATATTTTATTAATAAGTGTTATAGATAAATTGAAATCAGCAGGTGGGTGCCCAGGGCAGAGAGGGGGACTCAGAAATGAGCACTGCCCGTTGGCCCTCTCAGCTTTAGAAGAACCAGGGTGCTGAGAGAGGGAGCTAGTCTTGAGTGTCCTACTGTGAAAAAGGCTACAACAGGGTTTCCTGAAAGCAGAGACAAAAAGGGAACTGGCTTTCTGTTTAAAAGCCCCTGTTAATGTCCTTTGATCTTCAGACAAGCTCAATACATTTGTTCACATGTTAATCTTTGCACGGAGAAAAAACTCCTACAAGAGCCCTGTGGGAGCTGCAGAGAGCAGACAAAGCACGCCTGAAGGGATGTCAATTTCTGAGCACAGATGAATGACCACGACAGAATCTCGCTTAGATGGCATGGAGCAAGGAACAATGGAAGGAGGTTTCCTCCTGCCTGGGGTTAGATGGCAATTGAGGATCCTGCTGATTCTCGGAAGTGAACACAGCTTCCATTAAGGCCAAAGTGCAAACCTCTCAGAGGGGAGTAGGAAGAGCCTCAGTGAAGAGATGCAGAAGGGAAGAAGGGCCAGGAAGGGGGACACCCAGGGGCTGGGCCATGTCCTCAAGGAGAATGCAAGCATCAGAATACCTGCAGGGCTTGTGAAAACACAAAGGGCCGGCCCCACCCTCAGAGTTTCTGATTCAGTAGGTCGAGGGAGGGTGGTACCCCAACATGCACACCTGTAGCAAGCTCTCAGGGGATGGATGCTGACACTGATGACACTTGTTTGGGGACCACACTGTGGGAAGCACTGCTCCAGAGCAAGGATCACAAACTCGGGTGCACCCTAGGCCGAACCAGGTGATGTCACTGAGTGACCCATAAGAAAGATGTCAGTGAAATAACGGTCTCAGCACAGTAACCTTTGGCAGGTGGCACTGGCCTGAATGTGAACAGGTGGTGGAGACGCTGTGACAGGGGGCAGCTGCTAATCCAATCAAGCCACTTGTTGCAAAAGCTGCTACTTTTTTCCCCAATTTAAAATATTTTAAATTTTATTCTGAATTATTACATTTCAGAAATGGGATAAAAATAATTATAAAATTCTAAATACGGCATAAAGAATGCAAAGGGTTCTGTAAACTACCCTTTTTAAAGAAACAAACAAACTTTGAAGCAGCCTGAGCTCCTCTTCCTGGTCCCATCCATTTCCTTCCTTCCCCCATGAGTAACTACTATTAGCAATATTGTATTGGATGGTTTCTTGCTTTTCTTTCTAGCATTACTATATTTTTGGACTTGACACACAGAATAATTCCACTTATATATTTCTGTAGTGACTTTCTTTCCTCACTATCAAACATGGTGTATCTGAAATTAATCTGTGTTTTTAATAGTTGTAATTTATTCAGTTTCCTTGGTGGTATACACCATGGTTTATTTGTCCATTCTACTCCTGGACATAGGGTTGGTTCCAGGTTTTTGCTCCTCCACACAGCACATCTGTGACATTCTGGTGTGAATAGGCAAAAGTCTTTTTCAGACACACATGGGAGAGTAGAATTTCTACTCCTAGGGTGTGCATATCTACAGCTTTATGAGAAAATGCCAAATAGTTTTGCCAAGTGATTGCTCCAGTTGAATGTCCCACTAGTAGTGTATAGAGTTCCAGTTGTTTTTTCTTGCTAACATTTGATATTAAGTATTAAATGAATATGAAATGGTAGGCCATTGTCTTTTAAAATTGCATTCCCCTTGTTAGTAATGGAGGCAAGTCTCTTTTCTCTTGTTGGTCAGCCATTTGGGATTTTCTACAGTGAATTGTTTTTGTGTATTGTAACTGTTTTATGTATTATGTGTGTGATTTGTAGACTACTTCATATATTTTGAAAACTGTGTTGCAGTTCAATGTGTTGACAATTTCTTCTTTTGGTTTGTGGTTTGTCTTCTGTGTTTAGCATCTGTGGATGAACAGAAGTTTTACATTTAAATGTAGACAAATTTATGAACTTTTCCTGTAGGATTGGCACTTTCTGTGTCTTATTTGAGCAGTCTTTCCCTACACTAAGGGTCCAAGGCTCTTTCATATGGTTTTTAAAGGTTTTATTTATTTATTTTTTATTAAATCTCCAGATGATTAGGTATTCATTTTTGTATATGGTCTGAGGTTGGACTCTGATGAAATGCAGATTCTCAACATAGGTGGAAAAGCCAATATTTAGCTCTACCGTGTATGATATTTCCATACCTTTATGATGCTCTTTCGGTGCTTTCTAGTCTGTTTCATTTTTGTTTGTCTATTCCTGCAAAAAATTC